TTTGAAGCTTAAATTGCATGTTATCAAAATAATCATTGTCTTGTGATTCATTGAGTATTTCTGTATAGTGGTAAAAGAGCTTATTGCAGTTTTAAATGTACATTCCATTATTTTAATGAACTTAAAATACTAATGTGCAGTTTTTCTATAGCCTAGTTTCATTTTTATTTCTGCATACCCCACCAATGTGCTTGTTAATGTACGAAATTCTAAAACACAGAAGGTGCTTAGTAATTTATCAATTATTGGTGCTTTGAAAATAGTTTATTACAAAGCTATTTTTCAAGTAACACCCTATATTGGAAATATTCAGTTATAAGCCTAAAATTGTGAAAAAATATTGAGTACCGTGCAAAGTTTTTGCTGTTTGTTGAAAGTTACAAGTTTACATACATTTCATGCCTTACATAATTACTATTTGTAATTACAACTTTCATAGATTAAAAAACTTACTAATTTAAATAAACTCTTTATTATCCATAATGTATTTATTTGCTATGCTAAATAAGGTAGTCATACTAAATTCAGCATTAGTGTTCTTACAATATTTTAAAATTTGCTTAATATGAAAAGTAACTGCTATAGCTTTTCACTTTAATTTCATCATTATTATTTTCCCACCTAATTCAAATAATATGATTCTAAAGTTAGTATATTCATTTATTACTTTTTTGGTAGTAGAAATACTATAGTTTATTTCATTTTCTTAAGGCTTCAATTACTCATAGTGTATAAGTCCCTTCACTTACTACATATTCAATTTCTTATTGCTATTTTTCAGTATTAATAAATTTTCAGAAAAAGACTTTCAATATATTTAGATTAATAAAAACTACTTATCTACAATTGCAAAGTTAAAAATTACTGAAAATAAAATAATATTCTCCTTTTTTTCACATTTAAAAAGTAATTCATGTTCAGAATTTAATATTTCTTACACCAATTTCCTCTCATTGTGTTAAAATTTTATCTTAAAGCATAAATTTGTCCTACAATTATTGCAGAATAATTTGGTACATTTTCTAACATAAGGAAATTAAATGTTCCTTCGCTTACATTTTTATTAAAATCTATATGACCTCTTGTTTTTTGCTTTTTGGAAAATGAGATTAATGTTATTCCTGTTTATCACAATTTATTATTAGTTTAAAGAAATGATTCTTTGCATAATTTAAATTTGTATTAAGGAAAATTTTGCTTTTTAATTATAAGTTAAGGAATTAGTTTAAGGAATATTTTCCCTTAATCTTTAAAATTATTTAATTTCTTATTGGATTATAAATTATTTCAGGAGGGGTTTTGCACTACAACTAAAATAATATATTGTAGTTAAATTTTCAACCCCTGTTATTTGCTTTTTTATTATATAAATTGTGCCTTTAGCAGCTTTTACTGTGACTTGAGCAGTAATTTTCTAGATTCAAATATGAACAAAATCACTTGTTTAGTTTCCTTTATGAACGCTTATTATTATTAATAAAAAATTTTACCTTAACAAATACTTAGGAAGATGCTCCCTAGGCTTTATTGTGCATTTTGAAAATTTGTTTTGTTTTTACTATTTTTGATATATTGTATTCTTGTATTGTATTTGATGTTAGTGTTATTTTGCATTTCTTGCTTGTCTATTAATCATATGATGTATTGAGGGACTGACTGAATTTTCTGTTTTGTAATTCAAGAAAAAAATATTTTAATTTTCCCCTCAAGTTATGAGTTTTATTGTTGTTTTTTGTAAAATTTGGTTAGTTTTATTCTATGAGTTCAGAATTTTATGATTCATCTAATTAAAGATGGATAAAGGAATCAGATGTTATGAATGTGTATTTAAAACAATGAAGCTGAACTTAAGGTTGTTGTGTTTTATTTAAAGACTTAATAGTTAGAAAGTAAAAAGAACAGACCTTTGTTATTATTAATTACTTTATCAAATGAAGAATTTTAATTATATGTTAATCAAGAGTTCTTTTAAATTGGATGATGAGTTTGCTTACATTCATGCTCCTTACAGAGTGAATTGTATTCCTTCTTGATAATTTTGGATAAAAAAAAAATTTGTTCTAAAACTAGTCAATATCTGTTAAAAACTCCTCAGGATTTAATTTATTTCGTTTAGATTTAAGAGTTATTTTTAAAATTTGTGCACATCGTAAAGATCAATTCAAGTGCCATGGTGAGTGTTATGCAACCGCATCCTTGTTTGTGACATAAAGTCATTTTTTATTGATTTGTTTAACTTATGTTTTATTGTTTGTAGATTGTACTAAGTATTTTATTGTCTTTCACTACGTTATAATGTATTAAAAGTATTTTTTCTCTTGTTTCTTGCTGAAATGTTGACAGTGTCGCCTGACACTTGATTACTTTTAATATTTTTTTTTACAGTTATAGTGCTATTAATAAAATGTAAAATGATTATATCAGTTTCTGTTTTCTTTATTATTCTGTACCAATTAATTGTGTATATCCATCATAATGGGTGCAAATTGAAAGATTTTCTAAATTGACCCTTAAATTAAAAGCTTTAATGAGTGATTCTGAAATTTCTGTACAAACGAGTCATTGGGTGATTTAGTTATTTTTACATTAAATGTACCTGCATTGTGTATTTTTCTTGAATTGAAACTAAAGAATGGAGTATTGCCAAACAAATCCTTGAATATTGTGGATTAAATTTCTTCAAATCTAAAGAATATTTTTCTGTGAGTTTCCGACATAGTCTTCACCTGATTTAAATGTTTTCTAATAAATTTATTTAAAAGGTCTTTTTTACTAAGTTTGAATTTTCTGCTCAAAATCCACATGATTTATCATCTTTTTTGGAAAAGAGTTATGTGCTTGAGGGAATTTGGAAATGTTAGGATGTAATGCTAATACAGGAAAAATTAATTTTCAATTATTTTTGTTAGATTTTGGCCCATTAAACATTCTTTAAGGGAAACAACTGTTACTATCTGTATTCCGTATATAACTTATTTTGCAAGGACACGATAGCAAATGTGGAGGCAGTGTGCTAGTTAATCCATAGCCTTCTATAGATATTGCATTCTTTAAAAAACTTACATTTTATATTCACTTAATATAGCTAACTTGATTATGGAAGATACATTGGCAGGAATTGTAGTTGTCCTGATTTTCCTGAAAGAAAAAACTTAGTCTTGATTTCTGTGGGTGATCAGAACATGAGTTTTTTACTGTTACAAATGTGAATTTTAAAATGAGATTTGGAATAGCCCATTATGCATTTCTAGTGCAATATAAGGGAATGTACCTACCTTCCTGAAATATTTGGTTTTTTTGTATTGTCTCTTATTTATTTATTTAATAATGCTAGCAAAATTCGATAATTGAGGAACCATCTACTAATTGTTCAAATATATTGCCTTACCTGAAGAATTAATTGTTTCAGTCAATTAATAAAAAAGCATCCGGCGTAATCTGAATTTTCCCAGGTTCTGTATTTATAAATTTAACTCTTGAGCCATGTTATAGGTTAATTTGATAAGGTCTTTGCGAATGTAATGAAAGTTTACTGAAAGGGGGAAAATAGTTTAGTATTTATAACAAAACTGATTCATTTGTTTGGTGAGGAGCTTTTTTAATGTCGCAATTATATTTTTTAATAGAGAGCGACGAGTTCACACAGTTTAGTTTACATCAACGATCATATATGCTGACACAGGGAAAGTAAAATAACGTAAAGGTAGAATTAACAAAATGTAAGTTATTTCTGTGTTTCGGTATGGTACGATGATACTGTATCGGAAATGTTAACTGCACAATTTGTACATTGATCTAATTAACTATTGGTACATATGCAGGATTCGAACTCTGTACAAAGCCTTTGGTGGGGGATAATCTTTGACAGTCCATGAATATCAATAACATCTCATCTGATATCCTGCTTCCATTAGCAAGTTAAGAAATCTTAATCGTCCGAAAAACTTCTTTAAGAAAGCTTAGACTTCTAAGTAGAAACAGGGAATAAAACTGACATATAGAAACTCAATACACGTCTCGTCAGAAAATAATTTCTGCCAAATACAAATTACTACTCATGTATACTCCTTCATTTTGTAATTGCAAATGCAGAATATCATATGATGTATCAAAACTGCGGTAAGGTAATCATGTTTGATGTAAAAGGTTCTGCACCTGTTACATCAAACTGCATGTTAGTTTAATTGTGCATATAAAGATTTTATTGTGCATATAATTTGGTACATAAATTTTTAGAGGACGCTCCAGTGACTCATTAATCAGGTTCTTGGTCACATCTCCGAATGATTGGCGACCGAAAAGGGCTATAGGTTTAGAGCAGAACTCTTTACCTTTGGAAATCACCATTACCTTGTTTAGAGTCATAGGAGAAGGAAGTACGGCAGTTTCTCTTTTGATTTTCAAATAGATTAGAAACTTTTAAGTTAGGAAACTACTTGGAACTGAAAACTGCATTGTTCTAAAAGAAAGAGTCGTGAAAATTTTAAAAAAATAGTTGTGGCAATGAAATACGAAAAATATTAAGAAAAGGGAAAATATCGTATTAAATTCCTATACAACTGAGGAAAGGGAAGGGTCAAGGCATGGAACCGATCTCCTCCCAGCTTAGCATATTCGAGCGTTGCTATCGAAAATATGCTATGTTTTTTGCATGCATCAATAATGCTCCCTTAAATGAAACATTCTGTCTCGAAAATTCACTAATCTTTTCTATCTACGGTAATCGGAGATACATGAAACGTATGCAGTTAGAACGGTCCGCAATGGTTTTTGCATTTTTTTTATGGAAAGTACTCCCAGTTTTTCAATAACTAAATTTCCGTTTGCTTAAAAATGTAAGTAAAAATATATATAATTTAAAAAATATTATACTTCTCTTTTATTTTCCCTAAAACTTGTTCTGTTGGAAAACCGCACGCCCGACAGTGCGGTTTCGTGCGAAAAAGAGACGAATTTTAGATTCTAGCTTACTCATTCTAGTTTATTTATTAAAGATTAGTAGAAAATATTTGGCAGCTATTTCTATGTCCTTTCAATCTCTTTTCGTCTGTTCAAATTTGGCAGTAGGTTGCATATGTAAACAAATTTAATAAGAAATAAGAATGTCTGTCGGTGCACGATCGTGGAAGGTAATATCGCACGTTCATAATTTGTTTATTATTGTGTACTAATAGTTAATATAAGCGTAAAAAATTTGCATAGGAAATATCTTTTATTTCTTATAATGGTGTGTAATCGACAATTTTCCTTCCTAACTAATTTCATAATTTCTTATCGAATTTAATTTGAATGACAGGAAACCGTATTACCTTATAAATTACTTATCCCCGCCTTTCTGAAGTGTAAGGAACGTTTTCTTTATGCAAATTTTTGAAACACATAATAGCAAACTGTATCTTTTTGTTGTTTTGTTTTGAAATTATTGGATTTGGTTCAAATTTCGTATACATTTTTTTTGTAAAAATAAATTTATGTTTAATTCAATTCAATTTTGATTTATTTTAAATATATTCTATAATTTTTAAGCTATGAACATGGCATTTATTATTTGCTTTATATGCATGATTTATTACTAGAAATTCTTTAATAATAAATTCAATAAAAATCTCAAACTATAGGAAATGCCATGCAAGACTATCAACAGCATACAAGTCATGAATCAGTTAGAGTAAAAATCAGCAGTTTTGAGGAAAATTAAGATTTTTTAAAAAAAAATTATCTAGCTATTTGACTTTTCTAAAAGGATCAAATTCTTGTTTCTGACTTTTAAAAATGCAGTCTTAGTTATTTTTTCGTATAGTTACAGACGAGTTGTTTGGCAATTATATACTTTAAATGCATTTTCGGAAAAAATGTTGATTTTAAGAAATTTCTTTATGCTAAGTAATACACATTCCTATATATATATATATATAGAGAGAGAGAGAGAGAGAGTCTAGGTCTAAGCTGCAATATATTATTTTTATCAAGCTTTTTTTTTTTTAAATCAATATTGTCCATATATTTGAAATGTTTAGAAGATTTCTAGATAGATCCAAAAAAAAAAAAAATTTTTTTTTTATAGAGCTATTAGAGTGACATGAAAAATGCGTAGTTTTCAGCTCACATTTACCTTTATTTTCCAAAAAAGTCAGAAGTTAAAGTAGGTTAATTTTTAAAGTAAAGTTTAAAATTTTAGGATCCCTGCTAACTTAAAGTAAAATTTTAATTAAGGATTTTTTTTTCAGAAAAAAAAAAATTCTGATACACCCAGTTGGATACCTTAATTTATCTGAAACTCACTTTCATTCCTAGTGCATTAACAAAAGTATTAAATTGTCAAGCTAGGAGAGAATGAATTTAATTTATAACATGTTCAAAATTTGCCAAAAAGCTTGCCACAATTGTGGCCTTGCCGGTACTGTTTAATTTCCATTGCTATTCTGCTAGCATATGCAGTCTTTTACTTGATCATTTAAACATATTCTTATTATTATCTTCAGTACTTATAGGTGGTTAACAAAGAGCCATCTATAACAAACTTCTGCTTTCTAAAATAGTAATCAACTTAAAAAAACTTTACGATATCTCTCCTGTGATATTCTGTTTTCGAGGCGAAATGTGACTATTCTAGATAGACACGCTTAATAATCTAGAAAGTTTTATTAAGATCAGTGGTCAGAAGTAGCACTCTTATAAGTTGCAAAACTGCTGTAACTGCTACTTTTTTCGAAGTTTGTTGTGTGTTATGCAATTTTTTAAAAAAAAGTAGTTTTGTAGTTTCCCAGCTACTATTTTTAACGTTAATTCAGTAAGGGAACAAGTTTCAAATGAAACTAATTTTTGGAATTAATGAGAGTGCCCTAATGATCAAGTGTTAAGTTAATAAGAATTACATATTACTAATATTTAAAATATCTATTACGAATAATAGCTTATGAAGCATTGATATTATTTCAATGGAAGGAAACATATTTTCTCTGTAATTTTCGACATACTTTATTTCTTGAAGGAAAAAAAAAGACAGCATTTAGCACTTAAAAAATTGAAAATATTTGATAATTTCCAAGCATTTCTTAAGTTAAATATATTTAGCGATATATATTTTTTTATATAAATAAGCAAATATATTTGCTGCTGAGAAAGGTATAAAAAGTTGAAGGTTAAAATAACAAATTCATAAAAATTGGTTCAGAATAACAAACTTGCTTATGTGAACATGAATATACATTTCTTGATAATTCCTCCTGTTTACATAAGCCTATTTTTTTTAAAATTCAAAACCATTTTGAACAAGTGATTAAGTTACACTCTCCACCGAAATTTATCTCCTAAAAGTAGCGACTACATTTCAATGTAGTTTATTGTAAATACATTTTAATGAAGTAGTTATAGTTAACTACATTTGTAATAAAGTAGTTAACCATTAATTAAGATTAGAATTTAAGTTTTCACTCAATATTTTTTATTCATAACATTTTTCTATGTTTTATACAACTCTTGAATATTTTAATGATTATTTCATCTTCAAGTTTTGGTGTGAAAATACTTGGAAGCTTCCTTATTTTTTTTTCACCACTTACACTTTTATTTATATTTGCAAACCATCTTTTATTAGAAATCTGAGTAATTTTCAGTATACCGTGCGTAAGCGGAATGCCACCAAAAAGTGTAGACCTCCGCCTACTTTTTATTTTATTTCTTCTCTCAAACACATAAAACCAAATAAAAGTTTTTTAAAAATAGTTGAATTTGTTTTTTCCAGGCTAACTGAATATGTGTATGTATATAGCAGTTGTATATATAACCTAGATACTACCTCCATGTGATAAACCATCATTTTTTAGAAATATATGTCTGATGATGTATCAAGATTAGAATGTGTTAGACATAGACTTATCAACAGACATCAATATTGTCAGATAGGAACAATTTATCAATATTGTTCCTATCTGAGATTTGTATGTTTAATTAAAGAAATTATGAAGAAAAAAAAAGTGTTATTAAAGTTTTCGAGAAAAGGGTTCAAAATAATAAGTATATGAACAATTGTTTAGAAGTGTTATTTCTTTAAAAATTGTTTTAATTAACATCAATAATATTTTTTACAGGTTATAAAACCACACATTCCTCTAATAAAATTCAATAGAAGAGGTAAAGAAGCTGCTCAAGGTGACATTTTAAAATAAATAGATATTTTACCTTTTCAGATGTTCTAGCTAATTAGTAAAATTTTGCAATAATATTGATATTTAATTTGGTTTTTGCCAAACATTGTTATCACACTCTTTTTTAGGTTTAAAATTGATTTTGTAGTTCATGATTAATTTCATATTATAAGTAAGAATGCACAAGTTTTTTTTTAAATAAATATAATTGTGTTTTTGTATGGCATAGTTGAAATGTAATTACTATTTCCTTAATACTATTTAGGAATTAATAGTAAACAAACTTCTGGAACAATGACTAGCACTCACGATAAAGGAAAAGCAGTTTTTATCTTAGAAGATGATACACATTTGCCTGCAAGATATCATCGGAAGCCTCTTACGCAACAGGAAATAGAATATATAGAAGTGAGAATTTTAATGATTAGGTATTATATACTTAATTTAATGTAAGAACAACCAATGTTACTTTTTGTTGACATGTTGCAAAACTGTCTGAAAAAGATCCAGTGTTTAACAATGTAAGCAAATTTAGAAAAATGTTCAAAAAATTCTTTTCATTGAATCAGTGTCCTGTTATGAACATAAGTTATAGAAATAATTTTAAAGGAATTTTAATATTTTATTTCTTAATATTCTATAACTTTGTCATTAGTTGCTCTTTTATTGAGTTGCAAATAATTTTTTTTTATGCACCTATGCATATTTAGAGATATAATTACTATAAACATGCTAATTAACCAAATTAATCTCGTGAAGTTACTTTTTTTTGGTTAAGTGTTGAATTTTATACCATGAATTTTGTGTAATTATATTGTTGTCCAACCATAGGCATTGAAAAGGCCCAATTTTTTAGGCGGATGAAATTAAATTACATAATCACAATAGTTTTCTAAATTTCGCACAAAAGAGGAAAAAAAATTACTAAATGTGCTAAGTACCTGCAAGATATATTATTTTATCTCTGCCTTGTTTTTAATTTTAAGAAAATTTAATTCACAAAATTTTCTGAGGGGGGGCATACCAACTGTGATCTGCCGCTGACGACACCCGTATATTCAGCTCTACTAATTTTACAGAAGTTCTTTCAAATTATGTATAATTTAAATTTTTATTCTCTTAAATTTTTAATAAAAGAAATAAGTCTTGAGATTTTGGAAAGAAAAAAACAAAAAATTTTCATGAAAGAATTTTTACTCATCATATACAGTAGAACCTCGAATAACTGAGCTTCGGTTAACCGAGGTTTCTGTTAACTGATATTGAAATCCGTTTTTTTTTTTTTTCTTTTCGAATGAGCCTTGAAAAAGACCACATTTTTTAGTTCACTGTCAGGTTCTACTACCCCCGAAAATACTCAACTTTCAGGAAATATTGCATCCTGAGAAGTCAACTGCAATGAAAAATGCTTTGTTTCCAGTAGTCGTCTGACCCTATTGAATACCAGGTGCAATGTGTTATCGCGCTGTACTTTAGTAATGGAATATTTTAAGAAATGTAAAATTAACAAAATAATGTTTATTAAATTTAAAAAATACAATAATTTCTTGAAATTTTTGATTTTTTGAAAATGCATCTTTTAGTTTAATCATAAAAATATTTTGGAAAACTTCTATTTGCTTTTTAAAATTTACTACTAGTAGTTGATTTCCTCTTTGAGTTTGTTGAGCTGTGAAACATTACTTTATATATGTTTATTTTTATCATTTAAAAATGTTCGATTGTTATTTATTTCAAAAGATGTTAAATTTGCGAGCAAGGCGAGTTTTTAAACAGTTTCTATTAACCGAGATTTCCGATATCCGAGTGGTCTGGATTGGCTCAGATAATCAAGGTTCTACTGTAATTCAATTAATTAGAAGTAAATGTGAAGTAGTTTTTTTTTTAAATTCTTAGTTATTTTATTTTTCTGCATTTAGTTTTTCAAAAGTTTAATTCAAAATTGAAATTATTCATTCACCATTCGTGCACATGCACTATCAAGGTGAATTGATTAATCTGAAATATTTCAACTCCATCTTTGTTAACATGTTGAGTTTTAACATCTTTCTTTAGGAAATTTTGTATTTTTGTAGCAGTTGAAAAATAAATGTAACTCACCAATTAATGTGCAAACTTATTTTAAAATTTTGTGAATTGTAATCAAATACAATTATTTCAAGTTTAATTTTGATGTAAGTTAGATAATGTTAAATTGAAAAAGTGAGCAAGTTATTAGAAAGTAAGATTTAATCATTGATAAGTGCACTGCAATCTCTGATATATCTCTTTAACAAAAATAATGCTCAAAAACATGTCTTATTTCAAGCAAAAATTCAAATAAATTTTTAAAATCTATGAAACAGATTATATATTTTATTTATATAAATTTTTTTTGTCTCCAAATTTTAATATTAATTTTTTCATATATAGGCCATTTTTTGTAGCTGGTAATTAACGGGTTGATAATGGACAACTCAAAACTTTAATTATTTAAACTCTAATTTTATTAAGTTTTTAACAGACGATTACGGTCATATTTAGGTAAAAAGGTTGTTCAAAGCGACTCGTGAGTGTGCCATAATTCCTGCATTTATAATTGTATTACAACTGCATTTCACTTCCTGTATGTTTTTTAGTGATTTGTTTAAATCACATGCATCTTGTACAGAGGTTTACACCTGTTCCATGTATTGATAACTAATATTCAAACCCTGTAGCAGAACGTTACTAAGTTCTTCCAGAAAGTTTCTTTATTTGGAAAATAAAAAAAATTTTGGTTTTCTTTCCTGCAGAAATTTTCACATAAGATTTGAAAAACTTATTTAAATTATAATTTTTTTTACACAATTTAAACCGATAGAATCGTTAATCCATGTAGTGTTTAGATTATATTTTTGGTTTTTTTCAGTTATTGATTTTTACATAGTTTTTAAATATCACGATATATTTAAAACAATATGGGAAATTCTAGTCATGCATTTCAGTATTTACTGTTTAAGGCAATGACTCTATCGATTATTCTGGCAATTATTGCTATTGATTTCTACATAGTTTTTAAAATCTGATACTTTTCATACGATATTATTTATTACAACAATCGAATCTCGAAATGAAACCCCATTTGATTTCGTCTTTGATTTTTTTCCCCGTAGTTATTGTTACAGATTTCATGATTTTTAATATTTTTTAATGCAATGATGAATTACAAAATTCAAAAGAGGAAATAATTAGTACGTCCCCACCAACAAAATGTGACAGTATTGCTCATATTAGAATTTAAAAAATAATAAATATTCAATTAAGAAAACTATATAGTTTTTTGTAAGCATGGCACTTCTGTTACTTTTAATAATAACAAATAGAAATGCTACTAATTTAAAGTATCTTGCAGAAAAGATATTAGTGCTAAAGTTGCAGAAAGTCAGAAAAAATTCTTCTACAGGAAATTACACACACTACATTATTTTGTCCTCTCATGTTTGCTAACTTGATTTTGTAATGAAGTTTGAAATATTCATAACATAGTTCATTTTAATTTTAAAGAATGTTTTAAACATGGGACAGAAAATTAATGATGTTAAACAAAAAAAATTATTATTATTTTTTAAGTATGATCTGTTCAGTTCAACTGCAAATTATAAGTTTGTTTTGTTGTTGCTTAAAATATTTCTTATTTGTTCACTTAAAAACATCCAACATTTTATTGTCTGCAAAATCAGTAAATTCGATACATGCAAATTATTAAAGTATATTAAGTAATACCAACTTTCAAAGATGTTCAAGTTTATGAAATATATCAGATGATTTACACTCATTTGTAAAAAAATTTATAACTGCTTACTGTTTGTTAAACTTATTTTTCATGAAGATATTAAGAATATTGATATACGTGTTTTTAAGAACATAAGTGTAAATTTAAACATTTATGTTGTTCAGATAAAAATATATTAAGTTAAAAGTATTTTACTTTAAATTTAACTTCTATTCTAATATGTATCAAATGTAACAACTTTTATGTGCCTCTCCAAGAAAAAATACTTTTGAACTATGTGTTTCTTGATCAAGGACTTCAAACAATTAGGACATTTTAAAAGTGATTTTTCTCTTTATTGCAGAGAGGTGGCCCTGAATAGGTGATCTTCATTAATTTAATTTGTTGATACTTACAATGCCTCTCACCTGGAGTAGCATTCAGACATTGAACACCTTTTCTTTTGAAAAGACCAAGTTTTCTTAAAACCACTTCTGTGCTTCAGTCTGGTGTTATTTTCTAATGTACTTGTATTATTATTGTGTACTCGGAACTTAGAGTTGTAAATACTGATTAAAGTATTAATTTATTTAACGTAGATGTTATTATTTTAGAGTGACTGTTTTGACTTCATGAGATTGAAGGTCTCTTATAAACAAAACTAGTTAAGTAATGCATCAAATAATTTTTTTTTAAGGGAGTAAACTAATGAAAACATATGTTTATAAACTGGAGCAAAATGTTAGTTTATAAAATTTTACAAAAGATAAATTTACCTCCGTATTTATAATATGTACATTCCTAATATACCAAAATGATTCTATCAGTCTTGTTGAACCAGCTTAAGGCTTTTTGATTTAAGCTTCATTTTCAACATTCTTTTTTTCAGTGAAATGAAAGAATAAGTTATATGATGATTTAATACTCATCATCTTTAGCTACATTTTGATTTTTTTTTAATCCTGAAGTAATTGTAAGAATAATGGCACTATACACTGAATACTGGACTCCTGCACCATCTGAATAGTCTTAATTTTCTGTTAAATATCTTTATAAGCATTGCGTAATAAATTCAAAAATGAAATGCAACAATTTTAGGGAGGGAATAACCATCACATGAATTAGGAATAAAATCTTCACGACTGTTTTAATAAAGACAAAAAACAGAAAAGAATTTATTTACAAATTTTAAGTTTTTATAACTAACTTCAAATTATAGACAGTAAAAACTTAAAACACTGGTAGATGCCTCTTTTTTTCCCACAACATTTGAAAAAATTAATAATGTTAGTAATATGGCCTCCGAGGATTATTCTGAAAATAGAAAAGTAAACATCAAGAACTATAGGAAGTCAAAATATAAGCATATTGTTTATCAATAGAAGAAGCAGTTGCATAGAAAAAATAAAGTGACGGAATCACATTTTAAAAAATATCAGTTTAGGTCTTTTAACCCTTTGTTACAGAATTAACAGATTTTTTCAGTAACTATCAGTCTGTTTTTTAATTTAAAAAATACCCAAACCTATTCTTATTTGAAATTACAGCATCAGGAAAAAATATATGAAAGGGACACCAGTGTCCCATCTGCGTCGAAAGTTTAAGCTCTTGCACAATATTTTAACATTAGTTAAAATGATTTCTTTTCCAATTGAAACATGATACACTCAGCAAAATGTATAGGAAAAAAAAGTTTATGTATGAATTCCATTTTTGTTTATATCATGATATCAATGAAAATACGAACTATAGAGTCAAATAGCGTATTAGACTTGCTTTCATTGAACAATTTTTAGTTGCCTCCATTTGTAATAGTTATCTTTAGATATAGATGTTAGTTTCATATTTATCTTGGTATGTGCGAGTTACTTAATTGCTCATCAAATGCTAAAATGTTTTTTTTTTCTTCACATTAATCTCTGGTTTAAGTGATTGTATTATTAATTCAAAATGAAAGAAATGTTAAAAAAAAAGAAAAATGATTACATAAGCATAAAAGTATTAGAAATGTAAAATCGAATCCCGTTATACTGAGAGGCTGTTTTAAAATTATTAAGTTCATTCCGTGAAACAAAAAGTATGAGATTTATTTATTTTTTTTAAGTTGATGAAGCCCTAAAATCCATAATTAATATTATAATTAATAATTCACAAATATATTTTAAATAAATGATTACGTTTATTTAAATTGATATAATGTTTAGGATATTAAAACTGTAACATTATACTTGTCTTTTATCTAATTTTGTTTCACAATTTGAAGTTAAAACTTTGAAATAATTTTTAACTTTGAGGCCTACTTGGTGGTCTTGCATCAGAATATTAAGAGTGTGTTGGTACCAAGTTTGTACAAATTATTAGTTTGTTAACAGATTAAAACGATCTACGAAGCACCAACTTTAAGTCATGTGATCAAACCTTTCTTCAATATAGCAAGTTACTAGAAAATTTTTAATTTAATTATCAAGTAATTTGAACTTAGTTACAAAACCATACCAAAGGATTTGGTCTAAATCTGTAAGCTAGCATCATTCTTTTTCGATAGGCTTCATACTCATCATCATCCGATTTAATATCATCTGGCCTGCTTTGACCTAATCCAGCATTTTCAACAGGAGCTGCACCCCTAAATCGAAACAAATTATTGTTTTGAGCAATCAATTTATTAGTAAATAATGTGAAGAAAATGATTTATTATTTACTCTTTAACAATAAGAAAAATAAATGATGGAGAATATTAGAAAAATGAGATAATTTTTTTAAATAAACATTTTAGGGTTGTAAAACCATTCAAACTTACTACCTTAACTATGCAGGTGTAGAAATTAAGAAAATTTAGTCACTATTCCGAGTGACCAGTTACTAAAAGATATTACTAGTTCATACATAATTTTCACTGGTTTGTTTACTTGTCTCTATCAGATTAGATTTTTTAAGGGAAAAAAGTAAATTTAAATTAAAAAAAAAAAAACATTACAAAGAATGTGTAATGTCACAATGGCCAATTACAGTAAATTTTTTAAAAAATCTTAATGCATTCAGTATCTTTAAAACAAACAGCAATCTACCATTATTAGTTTCATAAGAATGCTAGATTGCAAGAGAAGGTTTTCTAAGAGTGCAAAAAATGCTTACTTCCGTTTTAATCTGAAACAAGGAGTCACATGATTATTCAAGAACAGACGTCACCGTTTGCTTACAATCATTGAACTATGATGGCTGTAAAAGCCATTTCTTCCTTGCCTTCGTTTGAATTTTCGTAATTAAAATCAACTATTTAGGATGGTAAATAACTATGTAAGAACAAAGATATGTATAATAAATTGTGCCCTAATGTAGCTTAATGAAAATGTGTGGTTAATATAACGCATTTTTATAACATTGTTTAATTTCAATGGTACCCACTGAAAAATTTTGAATAATTGACGAAATTTTCTAGTTATGAAAATTCAGATTTTTCAGTTCAGTAAAAAAAGTGTTAGAATGAGTTATGGACGCCTGATATTACATATTAAAATGATGCATTATAAATACAAAATAATATTGTCTTTTAATTTTTTTTTAACCATGTTAATTTTGATATTAAAGAATATTTCAAATTCATTTTAAAGATTTATTTTCATGTTAAGTGAAAGAAATATTGAATCCATTTTTAATATAGAATAGTTTTAAATTTTGAAAAGGCAGAAAAGCTTAAATTACTGATTATTTTATTTATTCTAGCGTGATTTAAATGAAATGGAAAAAAAAGTTTATATATTCCAGTAAATTTTATTAACTTTATTTTAATTGCGTTAATCTATGTTATAAGACTATTGAAATCAAGCATATGCATACATTTAGTTCTACATTACAGAAAAAAGAATTAAATTTCATAAATACAAATAAAAATAATTTTTCGCCATAGCAAAATTCCTATTTACTCAAAAAATAAAAATGTTGAGAAATGATAACATTACTGTCTATTTAATTATTTAATAAATAATAAAAAAATGTACATTAGAATTTCTTTTCATTTTGCATATTTTTTTAAAAATTCTTTAGCTTTGGAGAAACAAGAACGTATAGCTTAATGATATTCACCGAGACTATGTGGCTAAATTAAATTAGATTAAGTGAAAATTTAAGTATAAGCACATAGAATGTGGCGATGATAATGAATAGATATATTTCAATGGACTAGATTCTTGAAAGAGATGATTCGTTTTCAGCCATACTAGTTTTCAGAAATAAGGAGAAAAATTAACAACCATATTTTGTAAATTTATAGTGCTGAACTGCTAATTACAGCCCCTAAAAGCACTCAATCTAAACTTGATGTTGCTCAAAATAATGATCTCAGATTCATCACCGGAGGCACTCTTTCTACACCTGTCCTTGCTAGGGAACTACAGACTGACATTGATGGTTTACATGATTGACGAGTTTATGCCGCTATGGCACTCACCAGGATGGTTTCTAGCCTGCATATTATCCCAAGTACCATTAGATTAAAAACACAACGCACTTTCTTATCAGAATTTCTTATTCCTTTGATACTCGGAATAACAGAAACCCACTTTACAGACCATCTATTTTTCCTGGTAGTATGAAATATGCAACCCCAGTTTTTGACCTTGTCTTCCCAGTACAGAAAGGAGTTCTCTTCCAGCTGATCTCAAAGCTGCTGCTCTTGCCACTATCAATGAAAGATACCCTAGTAACAATTGGGTACACAGATGGCTCAGTTGAGTGCACAACTGCACGAGCCGGAGCTAGTGTTTTTTCCAGACTTTTTCAACTTAAAGAGCCTTAAGTCTTAACTAACCGTGACCTTCAACTGTGAAATCTTTTCCATTTACCTGGTTCTTCAGAAGATCTTGCTTAAACCAGAGGAGAATTTTGTCCTCTTCATTAATTGTCAAGCTGCGATATCTCACCTATCTCAAATTATGCACATCAGTTTTACATTGAATTCAATTTTAAAACTACCATTAACACTCTACTATCTACTAGTAAGGAAATATTTCTTCAATAGATTCCCAGCCATTGTGGCTTATGACGAAATGATAATCTTGCAAAATAGGCATTCTTCATGGACTGTGTCACCCGCTAACCTGAGAAACGTCCAACTCCAAATCAAACAAAAAATTCAAAACCATCGAACAACCTTCAACAGAGATCAAGCTGTTGGTAAATCTTGGGAGGGCCATCTAACTTACATCTTGCCTCCCAAGTACCCATCCTAGAGCTATTGGAGTCTCATCCTTCCGATTGCTCACGGGACACGACTACCTTCAGGCACACTTGCACCGTATTAAACTTGCTGACTCTCCTGACTGCATTTTCTGTAAGAAACATGTAGACATGAATGGCGAGCATCTATAAAACTGTTCCGCCCTCAAAGATGCTCATAGTTCTTATTTTAAGACGCTTCCCACTTCCGGAGATACTTCTTATTTGTATTGGAGAGCAAGACTTTTCAAGCTCAAAAAAGCAACTGAAGGACATAATTAACAAAAAAAATATATACATATTTTGTAAATACCATATTGCAGAAAAAGGAATAAAATTTTAAAATAATTTCTGACTATAGCGAAATTCTTATTTACTCAAATATTGAGAATAGATATGAGCATTAATGTGTATTTAATACATAAGTTAAAAAAAGAAGAAACAAACGGCATTAGTAAATATTTACTTAAAAATAAAATTTTTCAACTTTAGTTATAAAAAAAATTTAATTACAATGCCTGAATGTTTGAGCATTAGGACATAGATTGTAACGATGAAGGATAGAATATTTTTTAATGGACTAGATTTAGGAAAACCCTGGTTCGTTTTAATGCAATACCGAATAATAAAATCATCTACCCTATATTTAAATGCATATTACTTCTATCCAATCTGTGACTTATTTTAATTAAGTAATCAGGCTATAATGGAGCTTTATTTTAACTTAAAAATAAGGGGGGAAATGATTTCTATGAACTTTAACACCACTAATTTCAACTGAAAAGAAATGTTGATTTGCTGTGAAGAGTTGCATAATCATTTCTTCAGCTATTTTAAGGATTAACAAACAGTTGAAGTTTTTAAAATCTCTAATTTTATTTTGCATACACTCTCAAAACCGTAAATCTAATTTACTAAATTTTTACTAATGATGTGCAAAGGATGTTCATATGATATAAGTGATATCAAAACTAAAAGAGCATTGAAATAGCTTTAATGGATGGAGGCAGCACGTTGCGGTCTTTTTAGGAAATTTAAATTCGTAATAATTGAAAAAAGTCAGATTTTTAGATTTAGGAGAGAATTTCCAATGAGTTACATAGAAATTAAAACATTTTAAGAGATGCTGTATTTGTCCATTATGATGAAATAAGCTATTTTGCACTAAAAACAAAACAGCATACTACCCCATTTCATTGATTGTTGGTCTGGGGGACCACTGATAATTATTTATTATTTTATGGTGGTGTTGGCCAAATTTTTGTGTTTGCAGACGACTATTGATACCATGCCCTGCTATGGATATTAAGATATTGTTTATTCGTATCTCGACCCGTCCTATTCAAGGGCACACGAGAGTAGAACATACATTCTACTTACAAAACATACATAAAACACAAAAAATTACATCAACAACAAGTATAAATAGCTTATAAAGTATAAAGTACAATGGAAATTTGGAAAAGAACAAATGAAAAATTTACGCAATAATAGAGCATTAGGTATTGGCGGAACAATGAGTTGGGAATATCAAAGATTGTATAAGACAATGGCATAAGAAATCAATTCAGTGATCAATGTTGAAAAATTTTGAAACATATATAAAATGTAAAGAAAAATAATAAGTTTTTCAGAGGTCTGAAAAGTTAAAAAAAAAAGTTTTCAAAAGTCAAAGCTTTAGGAAATTTCAAAAGTCTGAAAAGTCAAAGAATAAAATTTTTAATTCTGAAAAGGCAAAGTTTGAGCTCAATTGTATTTGGAATGTGATTTGAGATTATATAGGGCAGGGATGGCGAACCAATGGCACGCGACACAATATTTTGGGCACTCCACGTTACACTATGAATTGTTATTACACAAATGTTATTACGCTATGAAGCATATGTATCAATTAAATTAAAATTCACAAAAAACAAACAAAATAATAAACAATTATTAATGAAAAAAATTAACAATTAANTGTTGCATAGTCGGCTTGACACTGGTTTGTTTGGTGGTCCAGCCGCATCTTTTCAGTAGTATCCGCTTTTTGATTATGCAACGGTTAAGACCTATGAAGATGAATCTTGTTTTTAGGAGTTGAGTTGCCAGTCTATGTGAAACATTGGCTATGATATGCTGTTTTTCGGTTGTCTTGTGTGGTATGGATTTTACATAGTTAATTATGTTGTTGTTAATGACAGAAGGATCACTATATTTTTGAAGAATGGTGGTGATATCTTTACCGTCAAATTGTGCAGGTGTATTGAGAATGTTCAACGATGACAGGCATTGTTGTTTATCTCGGAATTCGAGTTTATTTTGATGCTGATCGTCAACTTGTCCTTGTCCTCTCGTGTGTGGAATTTAATTTCTAAGAGATTTTTTGTTTTGGAGACTTTCTTTACAACAGGACTTGGGTTGGCGTCACTGATAATTTTTATGCTGTCTTCTGGATTGTTGCCTTCATCTGCAGGGATTATAATTGGTGCTGGTGAGCGAGGCATCTTGAGTGCATTACTGTAAGTGGGGATATTTTCAGATTTCTTCAATTAGGTTAATTTGTCTGAAATGCTTTTGATTTGGTTTTCTAGGTTCCTAAATTGATTGGAGTTTGAACTCTACTCTTCATGGCAGGACCAATGTGACTTAAATAGGTCTTTGATCTTATATAAGGCCTCTTTGCAGGCTTGTCTCTGTGGGATAGGAAGTTTGAACTTGCTTCTGGACTTATATTCGATGTTTTTGATTAATGTTGCGAGCAGGTTATCCAAGTCATCAGTAGGATCCAAGAGTGACTATTAAGATACATCATATAACTGATATTAATAATAATATTAATCCATGAATCCTCAAGCTAGGTGTCATTTTTCAGAACTTAGTGAAATTCTTGCAATTAGTTGCAAGATTTAATACTTTCAGTTTGATCTGTTTGGAATATATAGAATCAGTTTGTTTACAGTACAGGTATGGCTTTAAACATCTATACAAAAATTCTATTTTTTTTGAACAATTAATTGCAACAAAAAATAAAGTGACTTTTACTTAACATATCTAAATAATAATGAACTAAAAATCCAAGTAAATAATTAATGTATCTTCAGTTTGTACTTACTTATTTACTGGTTCCACAATTCCACCACCATCAGCGCCTAAGCCACTGCCTTCTGTCCATCCTAACTTTTGAAGCATTTTGTAACCTATATTGTCTGAAGTAATTTTGTGTTCTTTATAATCAGATAGATCAGGTGCTCTCCCTTTTTTAACAGCATCCCATTTTTCCAAAAAACTCTCCAGTTCTTCAGGAGGAAGAAAATCTCCAATGTGATGTTTTCCTTTAGCATGCTCAGTGAGTTCTTCTGCCCAATCTATATTAGGATCAGAGAATTCGAGAAGTGAACAAGACTGAATTGAAGTTTTATGAAAAATAAAAGTTATGAAATATTATAAACGCCAAAAATTATGATAAATAATCACATGGAAATATTTACAAGTCAATTCCATTTTTAGACCGAGATGTATTTTTCAAATTTTAGTAAACAACACACCAATTGGCAAAACGTTCAACAGAATAAAATGGCAAAAAGGCCTAAAGAAGGTTGTGGTTAAAACTTTCGATTGGAAACACCAACAGTCACCTAGCAAGACTCACTGTTACCAAGGCGAGAAATACAAACAGCAATCCACATATAATCATACAAATCATTCCTGCAACAGCCTATTGTGGGTGTGTGAGATCATAGAGATTAAGGCTTCACAATTTCATGACAAGCATTGTTTATTGACCTCTTTTACTACAAAGACAAGCTAGTATCTATTGATCCGAAGTTGGGCAGGCCTTAAGCCAACACAGAGGGTCAAACTTCAGATCTTTACAGCAACAGCTCAGTGCCTTAAAATATATGTATTTTTATCATTATCACTTACTAATTAATCTGAGGTTTATATTTATGGACAACTATTACATCCAATAAAAAAAAACATATCAATTTTATTAAAAATCAGGATAAATTTCATAAATTGTAAAACATATTTCTAGTGCTTGAAAATGTACCACATGCTTCAGCTAACAAATTCTTATTAACTATAATGTTTGGAGGTCTTTTTTTGGAATTACAGGGGGAAAAATTGTCTCTACAGCTAAATGAAACATATCACAAATAAAATTAGCTAAAATGAAAGAAATCATACAAATTTTTTAAAAAAAGTTTTCATGAATGTTAAGTTTTAAATAATAAAAATATAGCTAGTTGTTAATTTTTAGAGTCGTTTTCTTCAGGTTTTGAGTTTCAATGATAAAAATACTACTGATAAAAATAGTAGGCAGTGTTAGGGTTCGAATATGTGCAATTTTTCTGCATCTATTTTTAATAAGATAAATAATTTTAGTGTACCTATCAAATGTAAGAAGATAAAATAAAATAACAATATTTAAAAAAATTAATTTTACATTTAGTTTTTTCCATTTCATTTGCTCTTCTTTTATGTTCCCATGTTCCACCATCAGTTTCTTCATCAGAATCATACTCATATTTAACTTTTCCAGTTAACTGCCTTAAATATTCTTCTTTTTGTTTGGCTTGCATTATTTCAAACAATAATCTCATCTGTAAAGAAAAATAAATATTTGAATCTCCAGTGGCATAAATAACAGGTATGAGGTAGTTTGTTCCAGAAATAGTAACACATCATGTTACCATAAAAATATTTTTTTAAATTTACTTTATAAATAATAACTCTTAATTAAACCTTCTCCCTACATTAAAAAACCGTAAGGGTAATCACCACTGATTTGGGTGTCCAAATTACAGTTACATTCTTTTTTGCTAAGTAGAAAATCTAGTTAGAAGACTTGGAAACTTGAAATCATGGAAGTGTGTAGAATAATGTACAGGGAGTACAAAATGAAACATTAAAGAATTATTGGCAGTTAAACTAGTGGGGAAAAAACACCAAACGAGCTGCTCTACAGCCTAGAGGAATGCAACTTCATAGTTAAGATTTGGTATGATATGAAACTACATTTGTTTATGAGCGTGACCCAGAGTTTGTTCTTAAAATTCCAATTTGTTCGAAAGTTATTGAAATTAAAAGTAATTTTTTTTGAGAATTTTTACTTTTTTTGCTTTACACGAGATCTATAAGACTTAGAAACTTGATATTATGAAGGTATGTAGAGGAAAGTACAGGCAGTACAACAGAATTAAAAAAATGTAAGATTAGATCCATGCTGCATCATTTTAAGCAATCTTAGTGTAAGGTTTGCTTTTAATACAGTAAAACCTTGATTGATTTTTTCTGAAGGGACCATTCATTGTGAATAATACTTATGGAAAAAAACGACGAAAGCTGGTCAACATAAAATAATGCCTTAAAAAAGTTATAAAGAAGTAATGTATTTTATAATTAATAAATTTACAATAATTATAAAAAAAATTTTATTGAGAAAATTATGTACTTATAGCAAAAATATTTAAAACACAAAAAAAAGATGAATAAACATATTTACTATTAAAACATATACAAATTTTGGTGTGAATACTCTTTTCTTTTCAATTCAAACAATAAATTGTTAACATTTGAACAGATTGCTGTTCTCTTTGAGTAAAAAAAAAAAATGAGAACCAGGCATATACCTCAATCAGAATTAAATATACTGAAATACCATAGAGTTACCGATTTGTCAGCATATTTTGAGATGTTAATGCACCATTGCACAAAAAGATACTACTTAAAAATAATCTAATTCAATAAAAATACAAAAAACCATGCGTGCAGTGAACATATAAAGTTTCTTATTGTTTTAAGTCCTTCTAGAAATCCTGCATGGTTGTGTTTCATTTCATTATCTTCCTTAATACCATCATTTTTTGTATCAACATCACACCACATGTTTCAAAATTTTTAATGATATCTTACATCATTTTTGCTTTATTCTTCATCGTTAGAAATAGGAGTTACCGTTTTTTTTCTTCCCTTCCTCAAAACAAAATAGCTTTAATTTATTTCGAATATCAGTAAAACTTCTGAATGATAGATGTGGGAATCTTTTAATTTCAAAAACAATCTAAACAGGTTATTATGAAAATAAGGATAGCTCTTCTGACAGGACTGATAAAACATACGAGAAAGCGAAAAATGAAGGAATGATGGATCACAGCTCAAGTGTACAAATTTAGAAAAGAAAAAAAAAATTATAAACAAATAATTTAAAATCTTCAAAGTTAACAACACGATTTAAGAAGCAAACAATTGGCCTACTTTTCTTTGATCTTCTAGCTGCTTCCACTGTTCAGGCGTCAAATCAGTTGATCCAAATACTTGAATTGCATAAGATTTCAAACCTTGATCTATAATGTACAAGAAATTTCTTTGCAATCAACAGTAATTAAACTTCAAATAAAAAATGAACAACTATTTTTTAAACAATTTTTCTTTCCTCAAAATTCCATTAATTAATTGTTTCAGAAAATGTAAAACAGGACAAATAAGATTGAACTTTAATATTTTATGGAAAAGTTTACCTCTCTGAACATAAGCTGGCATCACATTAACATCATTCTGAGAGTTTTCTGGTTCCCATCGGCTTTTTTTACGCTTTCTTGATGTTTGTAAGGTATTATTTTCTTCATCTATACATTAATGTATAAAAAACAACTTTGATTAAAATCAAATAAATATATTTAAAAAATTGCATGATTGAACATCAGACATTATATATATATGTATGTATATATATACAGTGGCATACGCAAGGGAATGGTTTAGGGGTTTAAACTCCCCCCTTGAGCTCAGACAAAATTGCAAAAATAAAAATTTTAGTAGAAATTATGCGAGCTATTATTTTTTAAGACTATATATTTTTATTTACCTTATGACTACTTTTTTTTTCCTCACGGTATTTCTCAGAATACTGAAAAAACATTTACTATAATAGGGTTGTACTTTTAAGACCAAATTCTCGTGATACTGTTACGGACTGGTTTTCTGTCCTGCCAGTATAGTTTTCAAAACTGGCTGTCATTTGCGAGGTCTTTACGCGATAATTCTGGAATCCTAGACGTTCTGTCGTCTTTGAGACAATTCGAGAATTTTGGAGATGCAGTGAAAAATTATATAAAAGGGGGAACGGAGTACAGTGGAGTTAGTTAGTCAGACTAAGAGTTATCTCCTCCGCTAGTCTTTCGGAGCTTGTCGCTAAATCTGTTTTGTTTTGTCTTAACAAAAAGTTCCTTCAATCGCTGAAACCGTCGTTGCCACTATTTCAACTAGTGAAGAAATCAGTAACAATACCATTGGAGATACTGTGCTCGTTGAAGTTATTCATTCCAGCTCGAAACTTTGAGATCCTAGCATAGCGGATATTTCTGTGCCGATATATATATGTATATACATTTGCTGTTCTTGGATCTTTAGGATGTCAAAACGCAAGAATTTAACAATTTTTAATTATTTTGAGAAAAAATCATGACCTGAAATTAGTGAGGTGACAGCATCTAGTACCAATGTAAGTTTTTCTGTTGTACAGAAATGTGATACTTCCATTGAAGAAAACGTTTCTAGCATAACAAAATCTGATGAATGTGAAAGTGACCCTCAAAGTGTTACTTCCCACCCATATGACGTTGGACTTTTTTCAGAAGATATTGCATTATGTTCTTAAAATTTAAAAATCAAATCAAAATTTAACTAAGCAATGTTGTCTAAATAAAAATTTAAAATTGTCTAGCTGTCTAAATTAGAGAAATAATAGTGCTTTATTACAGACTCGAATTTCTTTTAGTAGTTTCAGAACATTATGAACAGCCCCCTTGAAAAAATTCTGCGTATGCCACTGTATATATATATATATATATATATACACCACAATAAATAAATACAAAAAGGATAAAAAGAAAAGGATAAAATTAAAGAAAATTAATAAGTTCTATTTACTGCCCATAAGCTGCAAATATATAGAACTCATAAAATAAGTTCAAAATATGGAGAGAACATGGAAAAAATTACAGAATAATGAAAAGAGAAGAAAAAAATTATTAAAATAAAATAACATAATAAATTTTTAAAAAATTTAAAAATGTCGATAAAAATCTGGGGGGAAAAAGATATGTATAAAAAAGAAAGATGCTTTGGCTATTTTTGATACAATATTACAAAGCACTCCATTTTGCAGGTATAATCGTGACGGCTGATGAAGAGATTATCTTTTTTTTTCCTTCTTTCCCCCCAGATTTCTGTTGAATTTTTATTTATTTATTATGTTATTTTATTTTACTAATTTTCTTCTTCTCTTTTCATTATACTGTAATTTTTTCCATATTTTCTCTATATTTTGAACTTATATATATCTTAAGTAATTACTGAAAAGACGGTCTAGTATAAAATATAGCAATGTAAGTACACTCACCAAACAGTCATTAATTTAGCCAAGAAACTTTAAAACACTAGTAATGTAAAAAGTAGTTAAAAAGAATACTAAGTTATGAGCATCAGAAATAGTAATTCTAAAATTAAAATATAGTTAAATTTAGTGTATAATCATTTGAAACAGCAATATATGTACTTAGGATGCATTCATTACTTTTATCAAGCAACTCTAAATTAAGAGATAAACTATTTACATACAAATATTATAAAAACAGGGCATTTTTAAACAAAATCTTCATAAAAAAAACACACACATAGAGTAAAAGAGCTGGAAATAAAAACGTAAAGCGTGAGCATTAACTATATATTTTCTACTATATTTTATCTATTTAAAGAATTTTAAATAAAACTCTTTAAAAAAAATCAGATTTCCAACTAAGCTTACTTTATAAAAACATCTAATTTTTCTGCAAAATTTTACATATTAAAACTGATAGCACATTTTAAAAGAACACAATTAAATCCTGCAGTAAAGATGAATGATTAGAAACACCAGGAAATGAAACTTGTTTTGATTCAATCTGTTTAAGTTGCGATTTACTAGATTTCTACAGAAGTTTCTTTTTGCTTTGATTACATATAATTTAATATTAATAATAATAAAAATAATTATAAATTCCTTTGAAATCATAAACATTATGAAACATTTTACCTATTTTACCAAAAGTCATGAGGTGGCCATCAGCTTCAGCTCTTTTTCTTGCTTCTACTAATTCTGAAACTCTTCGTTGATAAAGCTTGTAAGTGTCACTATTTTTATTACTCAGGAAACTAAGAAATAAATAAATGAAAGAAATACATTTCAAACAAAACTAGTAGAATTGTAACGATTTAGAAAAATATAAATTTTTCTTTTTAAAATTTTTGTTACTTTATTTAATAGAATTTGGCATTGATATTTTATTAGAATTAACAAAACTTTTACTATAATTTAAAAGGAGTAGATGCAACAGGCATAACATTTTTCGTGGGCCTCTTACAATAATAATAGTACATATTACAAAATAATGGTACACTATTACATACACACATTAATAAAACAAGAAGCAGAAATTTCTTAACTGCACAAAACTTAAATAACTAAGCATATTGTGATTTAAGACTTTTTATTATTAGGATCAGGACTTAGTGTACTATCATTTTATTGATACCGATTTTTAATCTTCTTTCATCATCGTTCAGAAACTTTTTCATCAGATTATTGTAAAAATATTAAATTTAATCAAAATTAAACCTCACATTTTGTTGCACGCCGGTATGTTTGATTGATCACCTTGAGAACTAACTATGTATAGAACTGCTCCATAGGCTCGTTCAGATGCGTCACAAAACACATGAATAGTAAATGGAACATGTGATGAAACGCCTATAAATCGAGGTATTTGAAAAGAGCAAACGTCATCAAACGGGGAGGATGTTGCATGCCGGTACGAGATTAAATAAAAGAACTTAACTGTCTCTGCATGGCAACACTTTTGTGTAGTAGTCGTTTTGTAAATAAAGGGAGATGGTGTTCGTTTAAAATATACTGAAGTTGTGATTTAATTACGTTTACATGAATTAACACAAGTTATTATTATTTTTAAAAAAATTCAGAGTATGAAATACAATAAAGGAATAAAAAATTGCACACCTATAAGCTGAATCTTCACAATTGATTTTTCTTGCAACTTCTTCGGCCACATCACCATTGACAGCAACAGAGATGGCAACCTTCTCCACTGCATTTTGTATTGCTCTATCCTCTGGTGAATAAACTAGAAGCATTCTATCAGAATTCTGTACTTTTTTCTATCATCTAGTATGATCATCTTTGCTAAGTAACCAGTAAAAAACAAATGTCCATCATGCATAACTTATTTATATCAATTACAACCGGACTTCGCTGATGAACATTAAGTTTACAGGTTTTTTTTTAAGGGGACAAAATACTATTGACCTTTTTTTCGATATTAAGTAGGGAAAAAAAAAGTGGATTGCTAGTTCAAACACCTGGAAAAACTGTTTAACCAGTTTTGATGTAAATCTTTTTCAGGATGCATAGCCAAAGCTTTCAACAAAAAATAAGAACCTTTTAAGTATTTTTTAAGCACTCAAAAAATATTTTTAAACACTGTATACATTTACAAAATGCAAAATAATTTTCATACTTTACAGGATCATAATAAAATAACTAGTTTCTGAGAAAGAACTCTTTTCCTTATTAAATTAGCCATTATAAAATGATCAAGAGATTTTTAGGTTCGATATCAGAAGGTGGAAAATAAAGCCTGAAATTGAGAATATCTTGAAACATGCAGCAGAGTTGAGATGACAATAATCTCACTCAACTCAGCTCAGTCGATTCACATGTGGACTCACAAGTATTACATCAAACATATAAAATGATTGGGGCTTTCATACGCTATGGATCCATAGATCCACCGTACGTCAACATGGATTGTGGTTGAATGAATTGCAAAAACATTGAATAGAACAATGTAAAAAGCATGCTTTTGCTTAGCACATGGTGAAAATCGACATGGTCGTTTTCGAAAAAAGAAAATTAAGCACTTTTTAAAATCACCCAATGAAAAAAGCACCTTTAAGGGCTTACGAAAATTATAAATAGGCACCTTTAAGCACTTTTTAAAAATGCTATGCACCATGTTTTTATTTCACCAAAATTAGATCAAAACTTTTTGGGATATTTATGTCAGAAATTAATGTTCCTTCAATAGATTTGATTTAGCATATAAATAGATTAAAAAACATTTGCATTTCTCTCCAAATAAGCAATTTTCAAACTTTTTTAATTTTTCTACCACTACTACCTCATTAGTTTTATTTTTTAACATTTGCATGTAAATTAAAAAGGATTGTGAGAAAAACAAATGAAATTAAAAAGCGTCCAAATAAATAAATTATATATATATATTACAGTAAAATTTTTCACTAAATGGTGCCTTTAGAACCACGGTGGAGAAATATTATTTAAGATCAATAACTCTGTTGATTCTCTTTGCTTATGTAAACAAAAGCTGAGGGTTGACAGGGAACTTTTTTATACAAATTTGTCTTATGCATTCAAAAATTAAAAGGTTAAATAAAAGCATTAAATTAATAAATAATGATTATGTAATTAGTGTATTACTAAATGTAATTAAGCTTACTTGAAAATATTAATTAAAACATTATTTGAATTTAAACATCAAAATACATTGACATTATAAATTATTTTTATTTCATTAAAGGTTTTTTTAAATTTTTTTAACAGTCATTTTTGGATTTAAAACGACAATATTTGCCAAAATTATTTTATTAATATGATTAATATTTTTTATTAATTAATAAAAACTAATTATTTGCGTTAAATAAAATAAATTTCAAAAATTTTATATTCATTTTTGCTACCAATATCACAAAACTAAAATTAGAGGAGACTTTTGGGGAATACTATTTATGAGAAAAGTTTATGTTATAGGGATTTTTTTCAAAAATAAAAAATACAATACTACATAAATATACAGAAAAATATTTACTAATTAAAGGAACGAAGGAAAATATTTTAAGTGTCCATATTTTTTTTAATTAAAACTTTGTTATTAAAACTAATAAGAGTTAATGAGAGCTGATTTTTTCCGCTAAGAATTATTTTCTCTTTATTTTCCACTTCATCAGCTACATTACTTTAAAGAAAAATTGTTTTTAATTACGTCATTAATTTCTTTCCCTTTTCAATAAATAAAATTGGTTGCTAAAATTATATTTTATTTATAGCTATTTATTTTAATAGTGATTGAACTGCGTTTAGTTTAATATTTTTTTGCACAAGCACCTTACAATAAGCACACATTTAAATATAGAAGGAAAAAAATACATGAATGTATAAATAATAACTCGAATCTGATGTTTCAGTCAAAATGAAAGATATGTGGTGAAAAACAATTCCTGATTTCTTTTATTTCAAGTCAGTCATAATATTTTCAAATATTGCAAAAAAGTACAAAAGTTGTATTTGATAATTCTTCTACTTTTATTTAACTTTTTAAAATCAAACATAGCATTAGATAAATAATGCAGTTATCTACTTTGATTTCTAATATAAAAATTACAAAAAACCCTAGTGGGCTGCAGAAAGGTGGGGAGAGGAAGACCCCAGGCATACAGTTAACAGAGGCATCTAACAACTAATAAACTTTTAAATTTGGTACAAGATTGCTAATATTGCTTTAATTTAGAAATTACATTTTTTATTTGATAAATATTTGGCTCAAGTGAAAACATTATATGAAATATATATATAAACAAAAAAGATTTTTGAACAAATTTAACAATAAAGTTTTAGGACATTAAAGTTTAAATATTTTTTTTTAAAAAAATTAAGGACATTCCAAAATATTTTATTGAAAATAATAAATTTTTATAAAAGATTAATCTCCACATGCATATAAACAAAGAAGTATTAAAAATATGGATTAAAATTTTTGTGAAAATTGAATACATATCATTCTTATGCTTTTCCCTTTAATGGGACATCCAATTGGAATGTGCCCCAGCCAACCAGACAGCTCGGCTGTAAAGACTAAGTACAGCAATTGCAATGATCCTTTAATTCAAGGTAATAAATATAGTTATATTAGACAGATGTGACACTAATGAAACATGAAAGGTATTTCATGTTTCATTAGTGTCACATCTGTCTAATAAAGGTATCGCATTGCCGATAATATTAAGTTGATCAGCGTTCTCTTGATTTCTATACAGATCTTTGAAAACTCACTGCTGTACTTTTTCCATTCAATATTCTAAGAATAGAAATCTTTCACAGAAATTCTCTAACAGAAATATTTTTATTATTTAAGTAATTAGAAAGGTAATAAGGTAAATTTTTGTTCTTTTAGAATTTCTGCTACAAGTTTTTTAGTTGTAGGAGGACACTGGTCAGTTTAATAATATGCTAAACCAACAAAATATAGACAACTTAAGTGTACAAAACGTAAAGCAATGTAAGACGTTTTAAATGCAGTTAAAACACATACCATAGTTTTTCTCTTCTTCCTCATTCGACAATATTTTTTGAACAGAAGTAGGCTCAAGAGTTTTGCTATAAAATTTTTAAAAAAAGACAATTAATTAAAAAACAGATTATTTTAACCCATCCCTATCATTAACATAGCTATAAATCTCTTGCTGATTTTCATCATAATGCAAATATAAATATTCAAGCAATATAAAAAAGTAGCATATATTACTGTTATATTAATTTTTAGTGTATAGGTGTGTAATTATTTAAAATAAAACAAAATTTAAAAAGAAGTTAAAAACAATATTTAAAGTACAAAATATATTATCATAAGCAGGATTTATTTCGTATATTTATGTTGTGTTTCATTTATAACTGCAGAACAAAGGTTTGAATAAAAATTAATTATTTAATAAAACTTGTTTTTAAGGTTTTAAAACATTTTTTAAAGTTCATTATTTTTCTCTATGATAAAAATTGTGAATACATCCTCTGTCATTGAAATATTTCATCATTTATTCATTTATACATTCTTAAGTAACTGGGAACACATTGGGGATCCGGGATCCTAAAACCAAAGGAATATTTTTGAATTTATAGGAAACTATTATTTTTTATTTTATTAATCAAATTTTTATGAAAAGTGCTTAATTATTGATATGGCGTTAATTTTGCATTTTTTTTTTTTAAATATCTAGAAAGATAGCAATGACTTAAATTATATTTAAAACAACTTATTTCATTTGCTAAAAATTATTAGTTGTTAAGAAATTGAATTATTTATGTAGCTTGCAAAAGTTATTGAATTTTCTTAAGCAAACTCAAGGATATAATTTATGAATCAAGTTTATCTGTTATTGTAGAACCTAAAAAGCTTTTGTAAAGGTTAACAATATCTCTGAAACTAATTAACATTTAATTTTTTATGAATGTATTGAAAATTGATTTAGGTTTTAGAATTTTTCTTCTCAGTTGGTCAAATTAAATGCAGAAATTGGAATTCACAATTTTTTTCATGCTGAAAAAAGTATGAAGAAAGAAGCTTTGGGGAAAAAAACCACTGAAAAATTTATTATAAGAACAAATTTACTATAATACAAGTAAAACAAAGATTATGAAAACTAATCAAAAGTAGAACAACATTTCTTGAAAACTGTCCAATTAAAGAAGTCAACAGTTTTACCTAAGTTGGGGGAATTATAAAGGACAGAGGTACGGATCAAAGTATTGCCAACAGGTTGAATAAACCATACAGTGCTTTCACTATTCTAAATAAATTTTGGGCACACTGAACTATATTAAAGGAAACAAAAATAAGAATATTAAATTCAAATGTTAAATCAGCACTTTTACATAGATCAGAAACCTGATACCACTTGAAAACAAATACAAGTAAATCACAGGCTTTTATCAACAATCATGTCAGAAGAATTCTTAATAATAAATAGTTTCAAAAATATCTAACAATAAATTATTCGAAATCAGTAAGCAAAAACCAATAGAATTAGAAATCAGACAGCATATCAGAAAACTGAAAAAATTCAAAGTAAAACAGGCGTTAGACTGGACAACTTAAGGCAAAAAAAAAAAGGGTAAAACTAAAATGACATAGCACAGAACTAACAAAGTATGGGAGAGAAATAAATTGCTTAGCAATAAACATGGAAAGAAATAATGTTCTTAGTTATAAACAAAACATGGAGAGGAATAAAATGCTTAGCCATTAACATATGAGATTGAGCGTAACAACAAAGATTCTATGCTCCCAAGGGAATGAAGTAATATAAGAATCAGCAACTTAAATAGATCAGGGGTGATTGTGAGCTCGAGTCAAAATCCGGAAAATTTCTTGAGTAAACAACAAAAAAAAATTCTAAATCGAAAAATTAGAAAAGAATTTAAACAAGGTTTTTTCCTTTTTCACAATATTTCTTAGTTTACTTAAAATATACAGTAGAGAACCAATTATCCGGGATGCTCGGGACCATCGCTATCCCGGATATCTGAATTTCCCGGTTTTCTGGATCGACCAAAAAGTGTCGTTAATCGATGTTTTNAAGATTCTATGCTCCCTAGGGAATGAAGTAATATAAGAATCAGCAACTTAAATAGATCAGGGGTGATTGTGAGCTCCAGTCAAAATCCGGAAAATTTCTTGAGTAAACAACAAAAAAAAAGTCTAAATCGAAAAATTTGAAAAAAATTTAAACAAGGGTTTTTCCTTTTTCTCAATATTTCTTAGCTTACTTAAAAAATATTTAAAATTTTACACATACCTATNTTGATTAAAATGGCGGGAAAATCGAGCAAAATTTTTCCCGGTTTTCTGGTTTCCCGGTTATCTGGATACCGGATAAATGGTTCTCTACTGTATTTAAAATTTTACACACACCTATGATAACCTGGAGAAGTAATTGAAATTTACAAATATGTCTTTCTTTCTTGAGTTTATGATTATAATAACTATTTACTGATAAAAAATGAATATTAATCTTGAATATAAGCTTATAAAGTATCTGGCTCTTCGTTACAAACAAATAAAATAAACTGTGTTTTTAAGTTCCACAGAAATAAAAATTTGATTTCCGAAAACTTTTTTGATCAATGATTTTCTGAAACGTCTAAACATTCCATGTCCGGAAACTTCCGGATCACAATCAGCAAAAAACCCAGAAATCCTAATTTTTCCGGTGCACAATCAGCCCTGATAGATTCAGTATTATTTACTCTTCCATAGAGAGTAAATCAGCTTTATTGCCACAATCAGGAAACCAAATTCTTTGAAAGGAACAAAGAACTGAGGAGATAAATATAATTAGCTTATAAAGGTCGGAGTGGTAATGAAAAACAGAAGGATAATTAACAGATACTTTTGTTCAATTTGCAGAATTAGTTAAAATTAAGATTGTCAAAAAGGGTCTTAATTTTGCAATAAATTATATTTTAAAGGTAACGATTAAAATAAAAGCAATATTTACCTTACTTGAGGCTGAATTTTCATAGAAATTCCCTTTGATGTAGATGATGCATTTGAATTTGCAGGTGATGCTAAAAATTTAAAGAAAATATTATTACAACATTTTTAAAAATGATATTGTATATCAGTTAATATTAAAACTTATTCTGAAATTAATAACAAATTACTTCAACTTACTATTACCTTCTTGCAACTTTCTGAACTGCTCTAGAAAACTTCCATCATTCTTGAACTGGTTGGTTGTAGAAACACAAGGAATTTTTACAGGAAAACTATTAAAAGAAAAATAAACAGTTTGATAGAAATCAAATACACTCAAACCTATTATTGTGCGGTGGATAGGGATCGCATAAAAGAAAACAAATTTTTTTTTTTAAAAAAGTCATACAAAACTTCACGAGTAGCTATAAGAAATAGTTTTCGCAACACAATTAAAAAGCATTTTTTTCATGCAGTGAATAAGGACCGCGTGAAAAAAGGATCTGTGGATCCTTCACCTTCTTCTATTCATTTTAAAATCACAGTCTAAGATTCTATGAAAATTGTCTTCCTCTTTGCTTTACTCATTTTCAGAGATTTCAATTTATTTTTTGAAATGAATCTTAACTTAATGGATCGGGAATGTGAAAGCACTTTAAAGGACATCAATTAATATTAGATATAAAAATTAAAACACACGTAATATTCTTTTTTATTAAATCACTTTATGTAGCAGACTAGTCACTTGCATAGACAAGAGAAGAATAAAAATAAAAAAAAGCAACTCTTTGCACTCTTCAAATAAGTTTCGTCTACCTACTCGTTAAAAAAAACAACACCAACTATCTTATTAACAAAAAAATAATCAGCGACCTAATGGGACAAGCATTCCTTTTCAGGCAAAACCGAACTTAACACGATGTAAATGTCCTTCAATGTTCATTTGCGTTGAATGCATTTTTGCTTTACTACGCATATTTCATCGCAATATGCTATTGCACGTTTCATTTATTTACTTGAAAATTCAACAATTAAAATAAGCAATTATAAAATTCAATAAATGTAATTAGTTGACGCAATATTTATGTAATTTGATGAAATACACATAAAAAATAAAAAAATTTAAAACTAAACATAGGTTTAAAAAAAATTAAGCCTACTAATTTTTTTATTGATAACTTAGTCAATTATGTTCCAATTTGAATTGATAAAATTCTTATTGCCACGGTTTTTTCTTTAAAAAAAAAGAAGAAATGCATAACTTTAATAACATTTTACAGATTTATGCACATAAAAAATCTGTGTAATTTTTTATCAGCATTCTAAAAAATTGAAAAGCTTTAAGATTTTTAAAATATCCCTTTAAGAGTACTGGTGCTTATATCTCTGCAAATACAGTACAGAACTCGTTATCCGGAAATCAGAAAACCGGAGCGAAATTCGATAAATTTTCCCGCAATTTTTTTAAACAAAAACTTTTTTTTCCTCATAAGATTTTAGGATTTTTCTTTCTTTTTTGAAAGATGTTTACCTTACTATCATTTTGGAAATANAAACTAAATAAAAAGAGTTAAAAATAAAAGTTTGACAAATCCACTGTAGAGTTTGGGGAAAAAATAAAGGGTTGAGGAAAGAAAGGGCAAAAAGGGTATGGAGTCTTATTACATCAGGACACTAATTTACTTCAGGGGCAACAGGGTGGATTCTTCTGACTAAAAGGGCAGCAGGGTGCTGCGCCCTGTTTACCCTGCCTAGAATGAGCTCTGTATTACCTCATCGGTTTTTCTTATTTTTAAGATTATTTCCAAATATTTATTTTTTTTTAGTTTGGTTTAACACTAAAAAAAACGGTTTTTTGTAGCGATTCAGAAAACCGGAAAAATAAGTTATCCGGAATAGCGATAGTCCCGATCGTTCCGGATAATCGGTTCTCTACTGTACTAATACAATTTCCCTACTTTAAATTTATTAAATTTAGCAATATGTCAACAACAAATTTTAGAATAGAATCCTTAAAATAAAAAAAAATTACAATATAACAGTGCCTGTTATATTAAATGCAATCAATGAAGTGTTTTTGAATTTGTAAAAATTTAAAAAAATATAAAGATTAGTTTGCTAGCTATGAGTTGTACCCTTTAAATTGGCCCCTTCTTTGGCATTTTTAAAATTTTTTCGTAAGTCCCTTAAAGGCTATGGCCCAAAAGTCTTAAAAGTTTAATGACTTTTTTAATGTAGATACTGATATGGAAATCTTCACTTGTAAGTCACAAAAACTTGGTGCATATTTTTGCATAAATACCCACATAGAAATCTTCCCTACATTTCTTTTAATTTATCTTAGGTTAAATAATTTATTAGAACCAAAACAATTTAAGCTAATTATCATTATATTAATAATGCATAATAAGAAACTAAAATGCAAAATATTCATTTACAACGTTGATAATTGGCTACATAAATATTCAGCATTAACTGTAGAATATCAAATACCGTTCCATAATACATTCAAGGAAAAAACAGGATTGATAGAGAATTCCTACTGCGATCTTTAAAAGCAAACGAACAATTAAATATTGTACAATTATGGATGGAAATTATAAAAATTAAGCCCACAAAATGGAGGAAACACATCTAGGTTTCGAATAATTTAAAAGATGGATAGTTGTTTAAGTTTGGAAGTATGATTCTTTCTTTTCTAAATAGATACCTTAATTGACAATTCGACGCTTAAAAAAGCTAACATTAAGTTTGAATATTAGGTAAATTAATAAAATAATTGGTTTGCCAAGGCATTTAAGTAATTTTTTACATTCATTTTATGAAAATAAACCTTTTGTTAGACGAAGTAACTATATTTGTAGTGGTCGTTGTTGATACATATTCTTCGACATCTCGTTTACGCTTTTTTTCAGCTAGCTTTCTCAGAATTTCTTGTTTCTTCTCCTCTATTATTCGTCGTTGTTCAGACATTTCAGATAAACGGTCCATTGTCGAGAATTTTTTATGGAAATGTTTCTTTTAAGTCAAAATATAAATTTGGCTATTCTTATCTGTCTGTTAACAGTAACATAAACAAAATACATCATTATTGAGTATTTTAGATTTATAATGCGAATCATCAACTGTATAGTCCGATGAAATCGTACCCATTCGTAAATTATTGCACGATATCAAGTACTTACTAAATAACTAGTTGAACTGATGTTACTGAAAAGTTTGAACAGTTTAGTCTGTAGTGGAGAAACACTTCACCTATTGCCAATATCTGCTCAAATTTCCTAAAATAAAGGGAATATATATGTATATAACTTAATATGGCTAAAATTTTAAATTTCAAAACTCTATACTATAATATTATAAAAACAAATGAACGCACATCAAAAATTACTACAAAAATATTTTTCAAAATATCGATATGCCATGAGTCAGAAAACTAATCGATAAAAAATCATCTTAATTGGATGGAAGCAAATAGAAGCTTACGACGATATGACGCAATATCGAGAAGTTTCGTTTTTTGTTTAAATCTGAGCATGCGTGGGTATTTGTTGATTCTGATTCTCAGAACGAACTAGACAACCGGTGTGTATATTCCACGATCGCTATGACATATTTGAGTAGTAATCATAAGTGATTAAACTAGAAACATTTAATATATTTTTCTGATTCGTCATTGCCCTTGGTGTCCCATTAAAATCAATAGTTTCGTTATTTTGGTCTACTATATACATCTGGAGTATACAAGTAATTATTCCTTGTCATAATTATTTTCTGTTTCTACATTTTGTTAATTTTAATTTAGAAAAAAATTCTAATAATTAGAACTACAATAAATATTTTAATTTTTAAAATTCTTTTAAACTTTTAAAATTTACCAATTGTCATGAAAAAATTATAACGAAATTATACTTCTGTATAAATGTTAATATTTATCTATAGATTTATTTATATACGATAATATAACAATATATATATAGAGAGAGAGAGAGAGCAATAGAGGCAAAAAAGGATAAAAAGAAAAGTGAGAAAAACGAAGAAAATTAAGAAAAATAATAAATTTTATTTACTGCGTATAAGACGCAAGTATGTAGAACTCATAAAATAAGTTAAAAACATGGAAAATAATGTAATGAAGATTGATGAAAAAAGAAGAAGAAAAAATTATTAAAATAAAATATTTTTAAAAATATTTAAAAAAATTTTTTTTTTTTATTGCATTAAAAAGCCGTGAAGCAAAATATATCCATGAGCAAAATATATAATGATGGAAGAAAAAAACAATTTGGGGGTGCTCCTCTTCCTATTCATAAATTTTGCTTTAGCTATATTAATACAATATCAGAAAGCACTCCATTTTGCGGCTATAATCGTGTGAGCTGATGACGGCATTATATCTTTTTATTATTTTGTTTTCTGGCGTGTATATATGTATCAAAATGTAAAAAAAAAAAAACATGGAAAAATTACAGAACAGTAAAAAAAGGGAATAATAATAATTTTAAAAAAATCCGGGGAAAAAAATTCCGAAAAAAGGAAAAAAAATTTTTATAAATCCGGATTTTTATAAATTTTTTTTCCTTTTTTCGGAATTTTTTTGAACTTATTTAACGTTTCGAACTTATTTATGAGTTCTATTTACTTGCAGCTTATGCGGAGTAAATAATTTTCTTCGTCTGAGATAAAGAAAAAAAAAAAATTTAAAAATATTTTATTTTTATAATTTTTCTTCTTCTCTTTCCATTAATGTTTCTTACATAATTTAATTGTTTTCTCTATATTTTTATCTTTATATATAATGAAGTGAATAATTTTCTATAAAAACTAGGAATGAAAATAGAACTTATGCTTAATGATGCATAATTCTGTTATTTTAACTTAAGATAGTTAAAATGTAAAAGATTTTTTATTATCAAATATCTAAACCAATTAATATAAATTATAACATAATATTTGTGTATACTATAAATAATACAAATATTGTAAGACTATAGCTCGAAGTATTTTTTAAACACCTCGCCCCTATATATCTATTAACCAGGTTTAAGAAAGAGAATCATTAGTATTAAGCTGCAAGCATAAAATAGTGGGACTAGTTTAAAGTATTCAAGAAAAGTAAACAGTGTGATACAACTTTCAATAGATATTTTTTTAATATAGGCAATTGTGATTTGTGGAGTTGCAATTTCAAGTGATATTTTATAGTTTAGCAGGCAAAGATATATGAAGTTAAATACATATATTGCATTAACTTTAAAGTTATGCTATGAATCATGTCCACCTATGAATCATGTCACCTCCTATAATAAAATTAATGGGAGGGATTAAAAGTAAGTTGATATTTACGAAGCTATTTATCTGTGTGCCTTGCAACCTTAATAAATAAAATTAAATCTATCAGTTACGATTTGTAAATGCAGTTCCAAACGTAATTTCAAATTTCTGTCTTGATTTATATTTATGAAGTTATTATTTATTATATTTGATGATTTTAAATTGTAATGGCATTTTATTAATAAGAAAAAAAATAGATTGGTATATTTGTAGGTAGCAAATTTGTAAATTATACGACTGTTTATAAAATCTTTTTGTTTGATCGGCTTCATTTTCTGTTCATTAAGACCAATCTGCCACACCCTTATAATTTGTGAGTTTTTTAATGTATTAAGATTTTATATGTTTAATAATATTTTAGTTTGTCAGAACAATAAACTGGGTGTTCAGTAATAACCTCCCTTAATATGTATTCTTAAGAATCCTAACAAAATAAGTATGCACAGTAGGGGTACCTACTAATATTTTAGCTAGTTCTTAGTGAGTCCAGATTTACTTGAAATTAGCGAATCACTAGTGAGTAAAGCGGGACGAAAGCATAAAAATATTTTTGATTACCGGAGGAAACAAAAAGCAGGTGCTCCTCCTAATACCAGGCAACCACATTGGTTTTTGTGTTTCTCATTTTGCTTCTCTCACTAGTGTTTCGTCAGATTTGATAATGTTTTTGTTGCTTCAATATTAATTTACGATCCATAATGAGTATACTTCTTTGACTTCTATTTTGACAAGGATTCTAAGAACATGAATTAAGGGCAGTGATTACGGAAAACCTTGCATACCAATTCCTCTTCCTTTGCTTACAATCCTTTATTTTTATTTCCCAATCTGGGGACTTATTGCTTCTTAAATGTTTTTGCACTACTTTCTTTTTCTGTCAATGAATTTGTAATGACATATTTGTATTATCCTACAATCAAAATAAGTTGTAAGAAAAAACTTTTATCTTCTTTATCAAGCTAAACTGGCAGTTTTTCTAATACCATATCATGCAAGCTCTCTAAATTCTTATTAACTTGCGTATGAACTTCATAATTTTTTTAAAAAAATACATTTTAGAAGTTTTTCATTTGCTTTATGTATCAAATACAATAAAATTAATTGATAAGAAATATGAAATGAATATTTTGATTGTATTCGATAAAGACCTAATTTAGAAAAATAAAAGAAAGACGATCCGCCAATGAGCTTTTGATATTCCTATTTTATAGCGGGTTTAGCGCGAAGGGAACGGCGCGTCTCCTAGTACGTATATAAAAAATAAAATGCTTTTCTATTGTTTAAAATAATAATGTTGAAGGTTGTTTGCTTTAATCTAACTTCTCCTCGTAAGGCTGGGATAGCCTGGTTGGTAGAGCACTGGGCCCATGTCCAAGAGTTCGTGGGTTCGTTCTCCGCCGGCCGAAGACTACCCGTGTAGTAAATGGCGACTGATGCACGTTAAATTTGTCGAGTAGCAAAGTCCTCCATGTTCCCATAACAAATCAATATCTTTGGGGGTACTGATGCACAAATTTCCTTGTCTTCTGGATTGGTTCAAAATTACAAGGCTACGGAGTTGAACATTGGTAATCGTAAACCCAAAATTGGGTCGGCTGTTCAACGGCGGATATAAAATAAAACTTCACCTCATGGCCAGACAGTATTGCATTATAGGTTAAAACAGAAGAATTTTAAAATTAGTTTAATAACTAGTTAGAATATTTGCCTGTCACTCCTCTCCCTACGACTAATATTTCAATTTTAATATTTTTTATTCGTCGTTGAACAGACGACCCAATTTTGGGTTTACGACTACTAATGTTCAACTATGTAGCCTTGTAATTTTGAACTCATCCAGAAGATAAGGAAACTCCTGGATCAGCGTCCATAGAGGTATGTTTTGTTATGGAAACATGGAGGACTTTGTGACTTGACATATTTAGCGTTCATCAGTCACCATTTACTACACGGGGAGTCTTCGACAGGCGGGGATCGAACCCACTACCTCTTGGACATGGGCCCAGTGTCCTACCAACCAGGCTATTCTAACCCCAATAAGGTAATCTTTAATAACCGTCGTTGAACGGCCAACCAAATGTTTTGGGTTTACGACTACTAATATTCAACTACGTAGCCTTGTAATTTTGAACCCAATCCAGAAGACGAGGGAACTCCTGCATCAAGTGTTGTGAGAAATTTGCTTTCGTGGAGAACTTTTTGATGCTAACCCACATTTGCGTTACATGGAGAGGAAGACCACGAGAACCTCCCACGGTTAGCTTGACGGCAAGGGGACTCTAACCCATGATCCGTCTACCGCTGAGGATATTTCATGTCAGCACTGTGGTTGATGCAAGCCGGATGCGGATTCGTATCGACCAGCCATCGGTGGGATTTGAACCCGGTTCACCTCATTGGAAGGCGAACGCTCTATCTCCTGCGCCATCGCTGCTCTGCTCTGTAATTTTGAGCCCAATCCAGAAGACGAGGGAACTTCTGGATCAAGTGCTGGGAGAAATTTGCGTTACATGAAGAAACAAACCAGGAAAACCTTCAACGGTTAGCCTGGTGGTAAGGGGAGTCTAACCCATGATCCGTCTATCACTTTGGTTATTTTACTTCAGCACTGTGGTCGGTGCGAGCTGGGTGAAATATTCGTATCGACCAGTCATCGCTAGTATTCGAACCCTGTTCACCTTATTGTAAGACGAACGCTCTATCCCTTGAGCCATCACGGCTCAATGTGGATTCAATTTATTTTTCATTTTATAATCGTCGTTGAACAGCCAACCCAATTTTGGGTTTACAACTACTAATGCTCAACTAAATAAGTAGTATAAATAAACGCAATTTTTTACTAAACCTGTTTCGTGTCTAAAACTCTTTTCTAGACTAGTGAAACATTATTACTTTTAAAGCTGAATCGAATAAAACCATAAAAAATATATATATATATAAAAAAAAAATATCGATAGCACTTATCATTTGAAAGCCGCTTAAGTTTTTATCTATGAAACGTGGAGTTCCGTACATGCACCTATCTACTCCTCTGACATAAATATAAAGACAAAAAAGTACTGGATAATGTATAGTTTTTGCGCTAAATTGTAGATTAAAACCAATTCGATTATTAACGGTGGAAGAGGAGAAAAATTTAACTATATTTTCGGAATATTTTTTATCAGTGAGATTAGGAAATAGATCAAAATTATGAAGAAAGCTATTTTATATAACTAGTGAACTGAAGAAAAAAATATTTTTTTCAAATGCGAAAAATAATGACAGGCAGCACTGCTCTCTTTTTTTCTTTTTTTTTTTTTTTTTTCACTTGGGTNTTTTTTTTTTTTTTTTTTTTTTTTTTTTTTTCACCCGTTGCCTTTTTTGAAGTTTGCATAGCGGAACAAGTAGTATTTTGAAATGGGGATGAAAAA